ATGGTCTCGATCTCCTGACCTCGTGATCCACCCGTCTCGGCCTCCCAAAGTGCTGGGATTACAGGCTTGAGCCACCGCGCCCAGCCATTTTTTTTTTGTAGAGACATTGTCTCACTGTGTTGCCCAGACTGATGTTGAACTCCTGGCCTCAAGCAATCCTACCGCCTTGGACTCCCAATGTGCTGGGGTCACAGGCACGAGTCCCCGTGCCTGGCTGAGGCTGACCTTTTTTCTGCTGCTTGTAGCTCTCCAGCTGATGCCGCCGCTGCAGCCGGAGCGTGTTGATGATGGCACTGGCCAGCCGCAGGGCCTGCTGGGGGTATCCGTGGGCACGCAGGGTGTCCACACGGGCGCAGGCAGTGGGGAAAGGTTCTCCCAGCCACAGTGGGCGGCCCTGGGGGTCGAAAGTCGGTTTGTCCCCACCCACGCTGCCTGTGAGGCTGGGCCCGTAGGAGTCACTGGCCAGGATCCTCTGCAGGTAGGTGTCATTCCAGTGCAGCTCTCCAGCCAGCAACGCGCGGCCAAATACCGTGTGGCGGGGACTTGTGGCTGCCACCTCTTCCTCTTCCTCCGAGCCTGCAGAGAGGCACCCAACATGGCCCAGTGAGGGGTTTCCCTATAGCAGTTGAGCTGTGGCCACTTTCCCCACCAACTACTAATTGGGGTTTAGGCCTGGGCAAAGCTATCGGCGTACACCATCTCCCCAGTCCTTGAAGCCACCCTTCGAAGATGTCTGTGTGGGCTGGGCATGGTGGCTCACACCTGTAATCCCAGCACTTTGGGAGGCCGAGGTGGGAGGATCACAGGAGGCCAGGAGTTCGAGACCAGCCTGGCTAACATGGCGACACCCCATCTCCACTAAAATTAACCCTGGCATGGTGGTGCCCGCCTGTAATCCCACCTACTTGGGAGGCTGAGGAATGAGAATTGCTTGAACCCAGGAGGCAGAGGTTGCAGTGGGCTTAGGTTGCATCACTGCACTCCAGCCTGGGCATCAGAGTGAGACTGTCTCAAAAAAAAAAAAAAAAAAGGGAAGCGTGTATGTGTTAGGAACTAGTACAGGCCCATCACACTGATGGAAAACAGGTTGAGCAACTAACTGGCTATCTGTCTTTCTCTTCCTACTTGCTATTTTTCTTTTCTTTTTTTTTGAGACAGGGTCTCACTCTCGCCCAGGCTAGAGTGCAGTGGTGCGATCTCAGCTCACTGCAACCTCTGCCTCTCACGCTCAAGTGATTATCCCATCTCAGCCTCCTGAGTATCTGGGATTCCAGGCATGCGTCACCACACGCAGCTAATTTTTGTATTTTTTGTAGAGACAAGGTCTCACCATGTTGCTCTGGCTGATCTCGAACTCCTGGCCTCAATGAATCTGCTTCCCTCAGCCTCCCAGAGTGCTGGGATTATAGGCGTGAGCCACTACGCCTGGCCTGTACTTGCTATACATTTTTTTCCCTCTCTCCTCAATCTCTGTCTTCCCTCCTATCTACTCCTCTGTCTGCCTCTTCCCTCTCTCTATCCATCTCTGCCTCTCTTCATTTGTCTCTCTCTCCTCAGTATCTCACTTTCTCCTGTTTGAGTCCTCCTATCTTTTTTCCTCTCTCACCATCTCTTTGCTCCCCTAACTAGTAGGAAGCCAAGCCAGACCAGCCCAGGACTGCAGGTGTTTTAAGCATTTTACTTCACTTGTCCACTTGGGCTGCCATTGCTCCTGCCCTCGGCACTCACTCTTTCCTGGCTGGACAAGTTGGGATTAGTCCTGGGAGGACAGCCAAGGACTGGGGTCCACTTTGCTCTGCCCCACTCTCTGTCTCTCCTGGGAAGAGCACCATGATGATAAGTGGGGCCACAGTTAGTCGTGATGGTTTTGGGGGGGCATGGTAGAGACCCCTCTCTCCTACCTGGGATGGGGGCCACGGTGGGCTGCAGGCTGGGGCCGTCGAAGGAGTAGTTGCCTTCTTCCAGTGGGCACACGTCGAGCTTGTCCCACCTGCTGAGCAGCTGGAGCCAGCCTGCCCTTTCCTCTGGTTTGCAGTGGGGGCTCAGGACGACGCAAACCCACAGGGCCCCTGAGGAGGCACGGGGCAGGCTCAATATTCCTGCCAACAGTGGCAGTGACACACACTTCCGCAGTGCCCACTGTGTACCACTTGATGATATGCTAACCCCTCACCTCGACCCTCGGAAGTTGCAACCCACAGCCTTTACACCTTACAGACAAGCAAACTGAGGCACGGAGATGTAACATGGCTTGCACAGGCTCACACCGCTGGTAAATTAGAAGTTGGGATTAGAGGGTCAGGCGCAGTGACTCACGCCTGTAATCCCAGCACTTTGGAAGGCTGTGGCGGGCGGATTATGTGAGGTCAAGAGTTTAAGAACAGCCTGGCCAACATGGTGAAACCCTGTCTCTACTAATACAAAAAAAAAAAAAAAAAGCCGGGCATGGTGGTGGGCGCCTGTAATCCCAGCTACTTGGGAGGCTGAGGCAGAAGAATGGCTTGAACCCGGGAGGTGGAGGCTGCAATGAGATGAGATCACACCACTGCACTCCAGCCTGGGCAAAAAGAGCAAAGCTCTATCTCAAAAAAAAAAAAAAAAAAAAGGTTGGGATTATTACAACCCAGGCCTCTGTAGTCCTAGCTACTTGGGAGGCTGAGGCACATGAATTGCTTGAACCCAGGAGGTAGAGGTTGAAGTAAGCCGAGATCACACCACTGCACTCCAGCCTGGGCAACAGAGTAAGACTCAATCTCAATAAATAAATAAAGAAATAAATAAATACCAAACCAGGCCTCCTCTCAAGGTGTTTTGGGGTTTTTTGGGTAGCACTTATCACAATCTAACACAGGGGTCAGCAAAGCAGCAAACCACTGCCCATGGTGAAAACTGAACCACCCTTTATTTTTGATTAGCCTGCCTGCTAAGATTTATTTTTCCATTTTTATTTGTATTTGTTTTTATTTATTTATTTTTTGAGACAGAGTCTCAGTCTGTCACCCAGGCTGGAGTGCAGTGGCGCAATCTCAGCTCACTGTAACCTCTACCTTGGGTTCAAGCGATTCTCCTGCCTTAGCCTCCCAAGTAGCTGGGATTACAGGCGTCTGCCACAATGCCTGGCTAATTTTTGTATTTTTAGTAAAGATGGAGTTTCACCATGTTGGCCAGTGATCTGCCCACCTCAGCCTCCCAAACTGCTGGGATTACAGGTGTGAACCACTGCACCTGGGCCTATTTTTCCATTTTTAAATGGTCAGGGAAACAAAACCAAAAGATTATTTTGCAACTTGTGGGAATAATATAAAATTCAAATACATTAATAAGTATCCATAAATAAAGCTGGTTTTTAAAAAACTTTGAGACAGGGTCTCACCATGTTGTCTAAGCTGCACTCAAACTCCTGGGCTCAAGTAATCCTCCTGCCTCAGCCTTCCAAGTAGTTGGAAGTACAGGATCCCACCACTGTGCCAAGCCCCTTTTTGTTGTTGAGACAGGGTCTTGCTCTGTTGCCCGGGCTGGAGAGCACTGGCATGATCGTGGCTCACTGCAGCTTCAACCTCCAGGGCCCAAGTGATCCCCCTACCTCCCTGCAAAGTGCTGGGATTACAGGTGTGAGCCACTGCACCTGGCCTCCCAGCTCTTAAATAAAGTTTTATTGAAATGCCACCATGCCCGTTTGGTATATATGTCTGTGTCTGCTTTTTCTTTTTTACTATAATGGACAGAGTTAGGTCATCATGACAGAGATCAAATGGCCTGCAGGGCTGAATAACATTAACTCTGTGGCTCTTACAGAAAACATATGTTGGCCGGGTGTGGTCGCTCACACCTGTAATCCCAGCACTTTGGGAGGCTGAGGTGGGTGGATCACGAAGTCAGGAGTTCGAGACCAGCCTGATCAACATGGTGAAACCCCATCTCTACAGGTGGCACGCGTCTGTAATCCCAGCTACTCAGGAGGCTGAGGCAGGAGAATCACTTGAACCCAGGAGGCGGAGGCTGCAGTGAGCCGAGATTGTGCCATTGCACTCCAGCCTGGGAGACAGGGTGAGACTCTGTCTCGAAAAGAAAAAAAAAAACAAAAAACCAAACATATGTCAGCTTGGTGTGGTGGCTCACGCCTGTCATCCCAGCACTTTGAGAGGCCAAGGCCAGAAGATCACTTGAGCCCAAGAGTTTGAGGTTACGGTGAGCCATGATTGTGCCACTATACTTGAGCCTGGGCACACAGTGAGATTCTGTCTCTAACAAAAGAAAAAAAAGAAAGAAAGAGAACATGTAGGCTGGGCCTGGTGGTTCATGCATGTCATCTCAGTACTTTGGGAGGCTGGGCGAGAGGACTGCTTGAGTCCAGGAGTTCAAGACCAGACTTGGCAAGATAGTGAGACCCTGTCTCTTCAAAAAATAAAAAATTAGCTGGATGTGGTGGTGTGCACCTGCAGACCCAGCTACTTGGGAGGCTGAGGTGTAGGATAACTTGAGTCTGGGAGACAGAGGTTGCAGTCAGCCGAGATTGTGGCACTGCATGCCCGCCTGGGCAATAGCGTGAGACCCTGTCTCAAAACAAAGAAAACGTGTATCAACCCCTGGGCCAATGACATTTGATTGCCTGTGCCTCCTATCAGATCCACGTGAACAGGATTTTGACTCTCTTGTTCTCTGCTGACCACCAGTTCCCAGTACCATGCCTGGCACTTTAGAGGCGCTCATACATGTTTGCCAAACGAATGGAGGGCGGATTCAGGGAACAGACCCTAATTTCGGAGTGGGCCAGCCCCCATGGGAGCCGAAGTCCCAGTGTCCACCACGCACCGGGGTTCGGGCCTCACCCAGCTCATCCCAGAGCTGCCGGCACTTGTCCGTCATGCCGGCGCCCTGCTGCCGCCACAGGGCCAGGCGCGGGTCCTGCAGGAACTGCTCGGTCATGAGGATCAGCATGCGCGCCCCGTTGGAGTCCCGCATTCGCAGCATCTCCCGCACCTGTGCCGGGGACAGGGTGGTGAGGAAGGGCTGGGCGTCCACCGGGGCCTTCTGCACCCCGTGCCCCGCCGGTCCGCACGGCACCTTGCTGAACATGGAGCGCAGCTGCTGGCTAGCCCCGTAGTAGCCGCCGTTGGACAGCAGTTGCTTCACCTGCTCCTGGATCTGCTCCTCGTCCAGGTGCCAGCAGTTGGCGTCCTCGATTCCTGCGCCAGCGGTGGGGTCTGGGGCGCCTGTGGGGAGGGAGGGAAAGGAAGCTGAGGCTGGGACTGGGGTTGGGGGTTGTGGAGAGATAGCGACTGCCCCTGCCATCTGTCCTTTTTTTTTCTTTTTTTTCTTTTTGAGACGGAGTTTGGCTCTTCTGGCCCAGGCTGGAGTGCTGTAGCACCATCTTCACTGACTGCAACCTCTGTCGCCCGGGTTCAAGTGATTCTCCTGCATCAGCCTCCCAAGTAGCTGGGATTACAGGCACACCCCACCACACCTGGCCAATTTTTTTGTTATTTTTAGTACAGGTGGGATTTCACCATGTTGGTCAGGCTGGTTTCAAACTCCTGACCTCAGGTGATCCACCCACCTTGGACTCCCAAAGTGCTGGATTACAGGCATGAGCCACCACACCTGACCCATCCATCCGTTCTTCCAAGTTACCCAACCCATTCCAAAGTTCCATCCATCCCACCTAAACCCCACCCACCCACTTGTCCATCCCACCCGAACATCTATTTATCTATGTATCCATCCATCCATCCCTCCATCAATCCATCTATCTCGTCCTAAACATGACTAGCTCATTCAACCATTTTCTCATTCATCCACTTAGTCATCTGATATGGTTTGGTTCTGTGTCTCCACCCAAATCTCATGTTGAATTATGATCCCCAGTGTTGGAAGTGGGGCCTGGAGGGAGGTGATTGGATCATGGGGATGGTTTCTAACGGCGTAGCACCATCCCTTTAGTGTTGTCTCATGATAGAGTTCTCATGAGATCTGGTTGTTTGAAAGTGTATAGCATCTCCCCCTTTGCTCGCTCTCTCCTGCCAGCCATGTGAAGATGTGTTTGCTTCTCCTTCGCCTTCTGCCATGATTGTAAGTTTCCTGAGGCCTCCCCAAATGCAGAAGCCTGTGTAGCTTGCAGAACTATGAGCCGATTAAACCTGTTTATTTTAAATTACCCCATTTCAGGTATGTCTTCATAGCAGTGTGAGAACAGAATAATACATCACCCATCCAATCCATTCATCTATCTCACCTGAAACACAACACACCCACACACCCACCCATCCATCCATCCATGTATCCATCCATCCATCCATGCATCCATGCATCCATCCATACATCCATCCATCCGTGTATCCATCCATCCATGCATCCATCCATCCATCCACCCATCCGTGCATCCATCCATCCGTGTATCCATCCATCCATGCATCCATCCATGCATCCATCCATCCATCCATGCATCTATCCATCCATCCATGCATCCATCCATGCATCCATCCATGCATCCATCCATCCATCCATGCATCTATCCATCCATCCATCCATCCATCCATCCATCCATCCATCCATCTGTGCATCCATCCATGCATCTGTGCATCCATCCATCCATCCATCTGTGCATCCATCCATCCATCCATCTGTGCATCCATCCATCCATGCATCCGTCCAACCATCCATCCATCCATGCATCTATCTATGCATCCATCCATCCATGCATCCATCCATCCATCCATCCGTCCATCCATGCATCTGTCCAACCATCCATCCATCCATGCATCCATCTATGCATCCATCCATCCATGCATCCATCCATGCATCCATCCATGCATTCATCCATGCATTCATCCATGCATCCATCCATCCATCCATCCATCCATGTATCCATGCATCCATCCATCCATGCATCCATCCATGCATCCATCCATCCATCCATCCATCCATCCATCCATCCATCTTGTCCAAAACACCACCAGCTCATTCATCCATTTGCTCATTTATCCACTGAGTCATCCATCCAATCCATCTATCTCACCCGTAATAATATCCATCCATCCATCCATCCATCCACCCACCCACCCATCTTGCCCAAAACACCGGGAGCTCATTCATCCATTTGTTCATTCATCCATTTACTTATCCATCCAATCCATTCATCTATCTCTCCTGAAACACTACACATCCATCCATCTACCCATCCACCCATTCATTTACCCATCCCACTCAAAACACCACCCACCCATCTGTTTACTCATCTGTCTCACCTGAAACACCACCCGCTCATCCACCCCCACCCAAGTCATAACAGTCTCTATCTACTTGGCCGTGTCCCCCATATTCATACCCCTTAAACAACCACCTACCCCATCAGTCCATCATCCACCCTACCCATAATTCCCACCCATCTACTCATCTTATTGATCTATCTGCCCACTCACCCCTTTTAACTTTCCAATCCACGTGAACCAACCACTCAGAATACCCACCCTCCCATTTGTCCACTGACTCACACAAGTACACTATCGACCCCACCCAATAACTATCATCCAATAACTAACCCTAGTTATCTAGGTGATAACTATTAGTTATCACCCAGTAACTAACCCTAACTCTCTATTCTTCCATTAAACCATCCATTCATTATCAAACCATCCATTCATATGTACCTCTCAAAACACCCACTATCCCATTCGTGCATCCATCCACCCCACGCAAAGCGCCCGCCCACTCGGCCCACCCACCATGTTGATCCACATATATGAACCTTCCATTCACCCATCAACTCACTCCCAATCCATGTACCCATTGGACCTTCCATTCTTTCACTGACTTCATCTGTCCACCACTATCAGTCTACCTTAAGCCCACTAGTCAAAGCCCTCCCCACCCAACCACTTATCCTCACCTCCAATCACCATCAATTCCGTCCTTCCCTTCTTTTTTTTTTTTTTTAGTCAGGGTCTCAGTCTGTCATCAGGTTGGAGTTTTAGTGGCGTGATCATAGCTGACTGCAGCCTTTACCTCCCAAGCTCGTGATCCTCCCATCTCAGCTTCCCAAGTATCTACAGGCGTGCATGTGCCATCACACCCAGCTACTTCTGTTTATTTTTTGTAGATCACTATTTTGCCCAGGCTGGTCTTGAACTGCTGGTCTCAAGTGATCCTCATTCCTCAGCCTCCCAAAATGCTGGGATTATATGTATGAGCCACCACACTCGGCTTCCAATTCCCATTCACCTAACGGCATTCTTAATATCCTGTCCAGGCCAGGCATGGTGGCTCATGCCTGTAATCCCAGGACTTTGGGAGGCTGAGGCAGGTGGATCACCTGAGGTCAGGAGTTCAAGACCAGCCTGGCCAACATGGTGAAACCCCTATCTCTACAAAAATACAAAAATTAGCCGGGCATCATTGTGTGCGTCTGTAATCCCAGCTACTCGGGAGGCTGAGACAGAAGAATTGTTTGAACCCAGGAGGCAGAGGTTGCAGCAAGCTGAGACTGCACCACTGCACTCCAGCTTGGGTGACAGAGGAAGACTCGATCTCAAAAAAAAACCAAGAAAAAAATCCCGCACCCACCCATTCGTTTTTCCACACCATCAGTTGCCCCCAGCGCCTGATCATGAACACTTTTTTCTTTTTGGAGACAGGGTCTCACTTTATCTCCCAGGCTGGAGTGCAGTGGCGTGATCTCAGCTCACTGCAACTTCCGCCTCCCGGGTTCAAGCAATTCTCCCACCTCAGCCTCCTGAGCGGCTGGGACTACAGGCACCCGCCACCACGCCTGGCTAATTTTTGTATTTTGGTAGAGATGGGGTTTTGCCATGTTGTCCAGGCTGGTCTCGAACTCCTGACCTCAACTGATCCGCCCACCTCGGCCTCCCAAAGTGCTGGGACTACAGGTGTGAGCCCCTGTGTCCGGCCAATCATGAACACTTTCTGTGCCCACCCAGGACCTCCCTCCATCATCCATCCATGCCTCCACCTTCTACTCATCTTCCCCATCCTAGCTAGGCAGCCCAAGCCCCTCAGAACCCCCCCAAACCCTCTCAGCCCTCACCACACCTCCTGGTGTATCCCCTCACCCATAACGCCTCTGACACCCACAAATGTCCCACATTCCCTTCATGTCCCCCTCCTCTCCTCTCACACCCAGGATGCTCCATCGATTGACACCCTCAGCCCTGGGGCTGGACCTCCCACTTGCCCTCTAACGCAGGCTCTCCCCTCCTGCCCTCGCCCTCCGCCCATAGGCTGATTTGCAACTACTCATCCGTCCTGTGGCCAGATGATATCTGGGATCTGCCACTCACCAGGTGGATGACCTCAGATGATGCAGGCCATGGCGCGTTTTCCGCCCCCCGCCCCCACAACTTCCTGTCAGTAAGTGACCAGTGCTGGGCACACAGCAAGTGGTGTGGCTGTGCGCTTGGGCATCCTCTCCCCACCAGACCCCCGGGGTGCCCTTACCATGCACCAAGTTGATCTCAGAGCCCAGCAGGAGGATCTCATCAGCCAAGCGCTGAGCGGTGGGCAGCACCTCAGTGTGGTGGGCGCTGATGAGGTATTGCACGAACTTCTGCAGCTGGTCCCGGTTCATCTGGGAGAGCGTCTCGGAGATGGGCAGCCGTAGCTCCACCTGGCGGGCGTGCCGAATGCGGTACAGGGACAGGGCCACGACGTGGGCACAGTAGAAGAGGTCGCGGTTGTCACAGCCGCAGCTCACCGACGTGATCTTGCAGCGATCAAAGCTGATGGAGACGTGGTAGAGGCGCTCAGGCTCTCCAGGACCCCCCGGCTCGCGGATGTTTCCACTCAAATGGAATCCTAAGATCAAAGCCAAACTGTCCCATCTGTGTCATCCCAGAGACAGGCGGTGTTTGTGACGCACAGCAAGACCCAGTTGCAAAGCTCAGCCAAGTCACTTCACTAGTGCAAGTCACTTCACTCTCTTTGCTTTTTTTTTTTTTTTTGAGACAAAGTCTCGCTCTGTGGCTCAGGCTGGAGTGCAGTGCTGCAACCTGGGCTCACTGCACCCTCTGCCTCCCAGGTTCAAGCGATTCTCCTGCTTCAGCCTCCCGAGTAACTGGGATTACAGACGCACAACACCAAGCCAGGCTAATTTTTTTTTTCTTTTTTGAGACAGAGTTTTGCTCTTGTTGCCCAGGCTGGAGTGCAATGGCACAAACTCGGCTCACCGCAACCTCCACCTCCCAGGTTCAAGCGATTCTCCTACCTCAGCCTCCTGAGTAGCTGGGATTACCGGCATGTGCCACCATGCCCGGCTAATTTTTGTATTTTTAGTAGAGATGGCGTTTCACCATGTTGGTCAGGTTGGTCTTGAACTCCTGACCTAGTGATCTGCCTGCCTCGGCCTCCCACAGTGTTGGGATTACAGATGTGAGCCCCCAAGCCCAGGCCAACACTTGCTTTTAATTATGAATGATAATTAAATAACACTTGCTTTTAATTAGAATAACAGCCATGTCATTGAAGGTGGTTTTCTGAATCCTTGGGTTACAATGAATACGGCCAGGGCTTCAGGAGCCCCTCAATTTCCTGAGACGATGCCAAAGGCCTGTGGCGTTCAGGGTGAGGGGCTGATGAAGTAAGCCAGGGACCAGGTCTCCCCTTCCCTTCCCCTGCCCCTCCCTGGGCAGCCCAGGTGCCAGGCTCATCTGGCTGGTTTGGCAGCTGAGGCCCAGCCTGGGTCATGCAGGGAGACGGTTTCCTCATACCAGCTGGAGGTGGCAAGGAGCCTGTGGTCAGCCGGACCATGTCCCAGCAAAGCGGCTCCAAGTCAGAGCCCACGGAGGGTCATCTCAGCCCAGCCTCGGCCTCCAGCTGGGAGAAATGGCCTGCTGCCGCCGGAGATCTGGAGTCCTAGGCCTCACTTGTTTTCTGGCTCAGCCTCTATTGGTCCCGTTCTGAGTCCAGCTGCCTGAGGTCTAAGGCCCTTCCACTGTTCTCATTACATCTCCCCCAGTCTCTGCAGCCCTTTTGTTTTCTTAGCTTGAGGTCTGAGCCCACCCCTCACAGCTGATCCTAAACTGCTACTTGGCCGGGCATGGTGGGGCACACCTGTAATCCCAGTACTTTGGGAGGCTGTGGCAAGAGGATCTCTTGAGCCCAGGAGTTGGAGACCAGCCTGGGCAACAGAGTGAGTCCAGGTCTCTACAAAAAACTTAAAAACTAGTCGAGTGTGGTGGTCTGTGCCTGTGATCCCAACTACTCAGGAGGCTGAGGTGGGAGGATCACTGGAGCTCAGATGTTTGTGGCTGCAGTGAGCTATTATCACACCACTGCACTTCAGTCTAGGCAACAGGGTGAGACCCTACCTCTTTTTTTTTTTTTCCTTTTGAGACAGAGTCTCTCTCTGTTGCCCAGGTTGGAGTGCAATGGCGTGATCTTGGCTCACTGCAACCTCTGCCTCCCAGGTTCAACTGATTCTCCTGCCTCAGCCTCTCAAGTAGCTGGGATTACAGGCACGCACCGCCACACCTGGCTAATTTTTGTATTTTTAGCAGAAACGGGGTTTTACCATGTTGACCAGGCTGGTCTTGAACTCCTGACCTCAGGTGATCCACCCGCCCAGGCCCCACAAAGTGCTGGGATTACAGGTGTGAGCCACGGTGCCCGGCTGAGACCCTACCCTTAAAAAAAAAAAAAAAAAATTTGGCCAGGCGTGGTGGCTCACGCCTGTAATCCCAGCACTTTGGGAGGCTGAGGCGAGCAGATCACGAGGTCAGGAGATTGAGACCATCCTGGCTAACACGATGAAACCCCATCTCTACTAAAAAATAGAAAAAATTAGCTGGGCGTGGTGGTGGGCACCTGTAGTCCCAGCTACTCAGAAGGCTGAGACAGGAGAATGGCGTGAACCTGGGAGGCAGAGCTTGCAGTGAGCCAAGCTCGTGCCACTGCACTCCAGCCAGGGCGACAGAGCGAGACACCATCTCAAAAAAAAAAAAAAAATTCTAGGCCAGGCATGGTGGCTCACACCTGTAATCCCAGCACTTTGGGAGGCTGAGGTGGGTGGATCACCTGAGGTCAGAAGTTTAAGACCAGCCTGGCCAACATGGTGAAACTCCATCTCTACAAAAATACAAAAATTAGCCAGGCATGATGGCGGATGCCTGCAGTCCCAGCTACTCGGGAGGCTGAAGCAGGAGAACCGCTTAAACCCGGGAGCCGAGGTTGCAGCGAGCCGAGATTGTGCCACTGCACTCCAGCCTGGGCAACAGAGCGAAACTCCATCTTGAAAAAAAAAAAAAAAAAGAACTCTAAACTTCTACTCTATATTCCCACCTCAGCCCTGTCGCCTTAGGTCTAAGACCATTGCCCAAAAATAGCTCTAATCCTTTGAAATCCCAACCTCTCTGCCTGAGGTCTAAGACTCTCACCTCTGGCTCTAAAGCTTTGTGTCCAACTCCCACCTGGGCCCCGCTGCCTGAGGTCTAGGATCATTCTTACCTCTGGCTCTAAAGCCCTGACCCAAAGCATCACTGGGTCCCTCAGCCCGAGGTCTGGAGCCTCCTCTCACTTCTGGCTGACAGCTGCTCCTCTGATCCTCACCTGGGACCTGCTCTTCTCCCCGTCTCACTACTTCATTCCCCGTTCCCCAGCTCAGCAGCCTGAGGTCTAGGACTCTAGAAGCACTTTCTACCTTCAGCTCATAATCCCGAACCCGACCCCATCTGGGCCTGAAGCCTGAGGTCTGGCAACTTCACCACCGTGTCTCAACCTCTATCCTCGTCCGTAGAGTGCCCTCACCCATCTTCCTTTTTTTTTTTTTCTTTTTTCTCTTTGAGACAGGGTCTCACTCTGTAACCCAGGCTGGAGTACAGTGGTACAATCAGAGCTTACTGCAGACTTGAACTCTCGGGCAAAAGTGATCTTCTTGCCTTGGCCTCCCATGTAGATGTGACCACAAGCACCCGCCACCATACCCAGCTCATTTTTTGATTTTTTTTTGGGCAGACAAGGTCTCACTGTGTTGCCTAGGCTGGTCTTGAACTCTCGGCCTCAAGCCATCTTCCTGCCTTGGCCTCCCAAAGTATTGAGATCACAGGTGTGAATCACCACATCTGTCCTCACCCCTCCTTTACATGGGCTCTGCTGCCTAAGTTCTGGGATCTCCCCTCCCCTGATTTCTGGTTCACCATCCTCTCCCCCACCCCCTTGTCTAAACCCTGCTGTCTGGGTTCTAGGGTGATCCTTGAGCTTTTGCTCAAAACATCTTGTACAGGCTGGGCGTGGTGGCTCATGCCTATAATCCCAACACTTTGGGAGGCCGATGCAGGCGGATCACAAGGTCAGGAGTTCGAGTCCAGTCTGGCAAACATGGTGAAACCCCGTCTCTACTAAAAATACAAAAATTAGCCGGGTGTGGGGGTACACCCCTGTAATCCCAACTACTCAGGAGGATGAGGCAGGAGAATCGTTTGAAGCTGGGAGGCAGAGGTTGCAGTAAGCCAAGATCGCATCACTGCACTCCAGCCTAGGCAACAGAGCGAGACCATCTCAAAAAAAAAAAATCTTGTACAATCCTACCTGGGCCTCGAAGCCTGAGGTCTGTAACCTCCCATCCCCTGGCCCCAGGCCTCCCTTCAACTCCCCCATTTCCAGGCCTGATATGGACCTCCTGTCCTCCCTGGCAGGAGCGGGGGACAAAGACTCACCCACTTGCAACACGCGGTCCACAGCCCCGCTCTGGAGCAGGTGCAGCCCGCGGGTAAAGGGCACCCGGGCGTCGTGCTCGCCCTCTGGGGGCGGGTAACCCAGCGACGAGTACATACATATTTCCCGTTCACTGCGTGGAAACGACCAAAACACGATGCGCTTCTGGACCGGCTCAGGCACCCGGGAGAACCGCTCCTCCACCTGTAGGAAGGGCCACTGGGTTAGGAGCCTGGGGTTGATGTAATCTCAGCGCTTTGGGAAGCTGAGGTGGGAGGATCGTTTGAGGCCAGGAGTTCGAGACCAGCCTGGGCAACATAGAGAGGCTTCCATGTTTACAAAAAAACTGGCCAGGCATGATGGCTCACGCCTGTGAGGATTTGGGATGCTTTGGGATCTGATGCAGCACTTTGGGAGGCTGATGCAGGCAGACAACCTGAGGTCAGGAGTTCAAGACCAGCCTGGCCAACATGATGAAACCCTGTCTCTATTAAAAATACAAAAGTTAGCCGGGTGTAGTGGTGCACGCCTATAGTCCCAGCTACTCGGGAGGCTGAGGAGGGAAAATCGCTGGAACCTGGGAGGCAGAGGCTACAGTGAGCTGAGATCCCACCACTGCACTCCAGCCTGGGCGACAGAGAGAGACTCCATCTCTTAAAAAACAAACAAACAAACAAACAAACAAAAAAACCACAGAAAAAAGTAGCCAGGTATGGTGGCATGCGTCTGGAATCCCAGCTACTTGGGAGGGTGGGGCAGGAGGGTCACTTGAGGCCATGAGTTTGAGGCTGCAGTGAGCTATGATTGCACCAGCTGCACTCCAGCCTGGGCAACAGAGCAAGATCCTGTCTCAAAAAAAAAAAAAGGTCAGGGCAGTGGCTCATGCCTGTAATTCCAGCACTTTGGGAGGCCAAGGCAGGTGGAGCCCTGGAGTTCAGGAGTTGGAAAGCAACCTGGCCAACAGGGCGAAACCCAAAAATACAAAAATTAGCCAGGCGTGGTGGCATGCACCTATAATCTCAGCTACTCGGGAGGCTGAGGCACGAGAATCACTTGAACCCAGGAGGTGGAGGTTGCAGTGAGCCAAGATCGCACCACTGCACTCCAGTCTGGGCCACAGAGCGAGACTCCATCTCGAATAAATAAATAAATAAATGAATACATAAATACATAAAAATGAAAACAGAGAGAAATCAGGCTTGAATCCTAGTTTTGCTATTTAGGAGCACTGTGACCCCAGGAAGTCACTTGGCCTCAGTGTTCTCAGGTGTAAAATGGGGAGGTCCACGGCACCAACCTCTTGAGGATTGTGGAGAGTAAATATGCGTTATGGTTGTAAAGAGCTTACAATAACACCTGGCCCATAGTTAGCATTCTGGAACTTTCTTGCAGTTTCCCTCCTGGATCCTCCTACCTGCAGGGTCCTGGGATTCTGGTGTAAGATCTTCCCACCCACCAGGCTTTGATGGAGCAGGAAGAAGTTAGGAAAAAGGGATAGGCCAGGCACGGTGGCTCACACCTGTAATTCCAGCACCTTCGGAGGCCGAGGTGGGCGGATCACGAGGTCAGGAAATCGAGATTGTCCTGGCTAACACGGTGAAACCCCATCTCTACTAAAAATACAAAAAAATTAGCCCGGCGTAGTGGTGGGCGCCTGTACTCCCACCTACTCGGGAGGCTGAGGCAGGAGAATGGTGTGAACCCGGGAGGCGGAGCTTGCAGTGAGCCCAGATTGCGCCACTGCACTCTAGCGTGGGCGACAGAGCGAGACTCGTCTCAAAAAAACAAAAATGAAAAGGAAAAAGTGATAATAATGATTAAGGTGCCCATCTTGACTGGACACCTGTAATCTCAGCACTTTGGGAGGCTGAGGCGGCAGCATCGCTTGAGCTCAGGCGTTCCAGACCAACGTGGGCAACATAGTGAGACCCCATGTCTATACACACGCACAAAATTAAAAATTAGCCAGGTGTGGTAGTGCGCGTCTGGAATCCCAGCTACTCAAGAGGCTGAGGCAGGAGGACTGCTTGAGCCCAGGAGTTTGAGGCTGCAGTGAGTTATGACTGTGTCACTGCGCTCCAGCCTGGGTGACTGAGCAAGACCCTGCCTCAAAAAAAAAAAAAGAAAGAAAGAAAGAAAAGAAAAGAATGCACACACTGTGCTGAATGCTTTATGTATGTAATTTCCAAGTTCTCACAGCCACCTAGTGTGAGCTTGTCCAACCCACGTCCCACGGCCCTGGCCCATGATGACTTTGAATGCAGGCCAACACAAATTCGTAAGCTTTCTTAAAACATTATAAGATACGGCCGGGTGCGGTGGCTCATGCCTGTAATTCCAGCACTTTGGGAGGGAGGCTGAGGTGGGTAGATCACTTGAGGTCAGGAGTTTGAAACCAGCCTGGCCAACATGGTGAAACCCCATCTCTACTAAACATACAAAAATTAGCTGGGCACGGCGGCCCACACCTGTAGTCCCAGGTACTCAGGAGGCTGAGGCGGGAGAATTGCTTGAACCCAGGAGGTGGAGGCTGCAGTGAGATGAGATGGTGTCACTTGCACTCCAGCCTTGGCAACAGACTGAGAGTCTGTCTCAAAAAAAAAAAAAAAAAAAAAAAAATTTAAGCTCATCAGCTATTGTGTTAGTGTATTTTATATGTGGCCAACGATAGTCCTTCCAGTGTGGCCTAGGGAAGCTAAAAGATTGGACACCCTTGATGGCGCATTGATACTAAATCATGACCTTGTTTTATAGCTGGGAGAATCTGAGACTCAGTGGGGTGAATTCACTTGTTCAAGGTCTCAGAGCTGTGAGTTCTTTCAACTCCTAAGACAGACTCTGTCGTTCCTCAGTTTCCCTTCCATGCCCCATCCCTGGGAGGGGGCCCCAGGAGGGGAGGGGGTGTCCTGGCCACCGCTGTGGGCTCTGGGCAATGCAATGAGCTGGCTGAGCCTGCCTTCCAATCTGGACTTGCTATTCCCTGGCTGGGTGACCTTGGGCAAGTTTCTCAACTTCTCTGTGCCCCAGTTTCCTCAAAGTGGGAACGAGAACAACTCCCAAAGGGTTGCAGAGGATTCCATGAGCTTCTGTGGGCTCGGCTTGGCCAGGGCAGTTTTGTGGGAAACTTGGAGATCGTTTTCAGAGTATTCTGTGTGTCTTACATGCAATGAAGGGGCAGCGGACCTCCTTAGCCCCTACTCCCACCTGGGTTTCTAGGGGAAGTGGGAGAGGCAATGACCAGACCAGGCCTCAGGGACAGTTGGCAGATGACTAAGGAGGGATTTTCCAGTCCATGAATCAGAGCCTGCCCGTCCACACTTGGCCCAAACCCATCTGTCCAGGCCGACTTCCTAACTCCAGAGAAACCGGGCAGGAAAGAACGCCCTCTGAAGCTGGACAGAGGATAGAGCCCGTGTGTGCTTCCTGTTCAGGTCTGGGCCATGTCTCCAGCTCCTTGGGGGCCCACACTGAAGCTGAAAAAGGGGACTTAAAGGGCCCCCAGCTCTGGGACATTCTGGCAGTGCTCCCAGAAGCCAAAGAAGAGAGGTTCTAGGTGCACCTGTCCCGGGACCACCACCCAGGCTCCGCCCCTGCTGTTTTCCTCTGGGAAGGGATAGGATAGGAAGGGAGGATGAGTGGGGGAGGAGGAGGGACCCTGGCACTTGAGTAATCCCTGCTGCAAGCCAGAAGTTGGGCAGCCCTGAGAGAGGAATCTGGAGGAGTAGAGAGGGGTCCCCAAAGAACAGGTGGAATCTGGAGGCCTGAGGGCAGGAATGAAGGGGGGAAAAAAGGGGTGTCTTGAGCTGGAATCTGGAGAGATGGGGGAGTTATTTGCTTGGGGTGTAGGATAGGGAGCTGAAGAGCAGGAATGGGGTAGTGTGAGTCTCTAGGGGCTATGATGGAGGGAGACAGGGTGTCCCCAAGCGGGGGGCTGAAGACTGAATGGGGTGCCCTGATTGGAGAATAAATATGCGGTAGGAAAAGAGGGGTACCATTGGGGGATGAGGTGGGAAAAGAGGGGTGCCTGGCGTTGTAGGCGGACCATGGGGGCCGGATCTCAGACATCTGGGGTTGGTAGGAGAAGAAGGAAGTGTCCTGACTTGGGATCTGGGGCGCTGAGGGGCAGAGATGGCAGAGAAGGGATGGGGATAGGTTATTGGGTTTGAAGGACAGAAATAGGAGGATGAAGGGGTATTTCCGGGCAGGGTTAAGGGTCCTGGGGGTGGAATATAAGGGGGTGTCTCTGATTAGGGTAGCTCTGGAGTCTGGGGATCGGGGAGGAGAAGATAGGTAGGGAAGGCGTTGGGGGTGCGTCCCTGTCCCTGCCCCCGCCCCCTTCCCCCGCGGTCACCTGCTCGAAGGCCCAGCTCTCGGCTACCCGCTTGGCGCTGAGGTCCAGCAGCGCCTCGGGCCGGCCCTGGCCACGCGCGGCCCCAGCCCCGGCATCGCGCTCGTCGGGTTCCGCGGGGCAGCCCCGGCTCCGCTTGGCCGCGGGGGGTTCCATCCGGCCGGGCCGGGGCCAGGGCCGGGGCGGGGCCTCTCTGGGGGGGTCGCTCCGATGCCCGTTCCGCTTCGTCGGCTTCCGCGCCCCCTGCCCGCCTTTCCGTCCGTCCTCTGCTCTTGGCCGCCCCGGGACCCCTGCCGCACCCACCCCCGACCCGCGCCGGGCCGGCCGGGCGATGCGGCCCCTTTAAGACTCTTCACAACAATGAAGCTGCTTCGGCCGCCGCTTTAGCTCCGCCGTCGTCCCGCCCCCGCCGCCGGTCCCCATTGGCACCCCCCTCGGCCTCCGCGGCTCTCCCCCGCCATTGGCTGCGCCTCCAGACCCCTCTCCAAGCCTCGCTGTTCACTCGATAATTGCGATGCCAGTCTTTTGGTGTTTACCCAACCAGAGCGCGAAGCGAGGGAAGCTGTCAATCACGGGGCACCAGAGGCCAATCAGAGCGGGAGGACCCCCCCCCGCGGCCCAGGCCTTATGCGGAGTTTCGGGGCGGGCCCGGGGTTCATTCACAACATTCCTCCCCCGCCTCCCTTGGGCTGGACTGCGCGCCCCGGGCTGCTGGAGCTGCGCCCACACACGGCTTTGTTTACTGAGGGTCGCTTCCGGGCGCCGCGAGGGGACAATCAACATAGCCCGGCCGGTGAGCGAGACGGAGCAGCGGGATCCCTTGGCAGTGGCGCAGCCCCTCGTCCCTCCGAGCTGTGCGACCTGAGAAACTCACTCAACCTCTCTGGGCACTGACTCAAGTTTTGGGTCTGTTGGGGGCGGAGGGGTCGCAGGCTCATTGAGGGAGCTCATGCGGGCCGCGGACCCCCTCTCCAGAAACAGAGCTCGGTTATGGGGTTCATGGGTCATCCCTTGAGCCTCAAAACTAGTACCCCGCCCCTCCTTTCCATGCCCTAGATACTACCTTGGGTCGTGTGAAATTGCTAATTTTGTTACCATTTTTGGCCTGTTAAAATGGCAATTCCATGAGGTTCAGTCTAACACTTATCAAACCCCAGCACCTCTGAGCATTTTTTCTGACTCAGCTTGTCTAGGCCACCATCTCTGGCCTGGAAGCCGGCCATGGCTTCCATCACCCGTCCGGTTCCGGCTCCTTGCCAGTGTCCTCAGAGAACCCTGCATTTTCCCTTCCTCATACTTCTCACCATTACCATTTATTTATCTGTTTTGGCGTTTTGTTTTTGTTTTTGAGACCGCCCAGGCTGGGGTGCAGTGGTGCGATCTCGGCTCACTGCAACCTCCGCCTCCCGGGTTCAAGTGATTCTCCTGCCTCAGCCTCCCAAATAGCTGAAATTACAGGCGCCCACCACCACACCCGGCTAATTTTTCTGTTTTTGGTAGAGACGGAGTTTTGCCATGTTGGCCAGGCTGGTCTCGAACTCCTGACCTCAGGGGATCCGCCTTTGGTGGTTGCTTAATTTCGATCTCTCCCTCTCCACTCTGAGCCTCAGGAGGCAGGAGTTTGTCTCATCTGTGCTTTACTGTACTGACAGCACCTGGAAGGTAGGCGCTCAACCTAGTTGGTTGAATGCACCAACCAACTCATGCTTTGCCTCCGTTCAGTTAAATGATAGGCACAGCAGAAAAAAAAAAAAAAAAAAAACAACAGTGATTATCCGCCCATCCATATGGAAACCCTCGCTTTTTCCTGAAGAAGCTTTTGAGTCTCACAGCTGCCCCTCTGGCCAGTCTTCACCCACTCCCCCCGCCACCCCCTCAATTAATTGAACTCCCCAGTAGACTTGTACTGTCCAGTATGGTCACCAATGGTCTCTGAGCCCCTGAAATGGGACTGGCTGGAATTAGATTGTGCTGGAAAGGTAAAATACAGAGTGGATTTTGGAGACATAGCAGGAAGGGAAAGAGGAAAAATGTTTCTTTTTTTTTTTTTTTGAGACGGAGTGATTTCAGTTCACTGCAACCTCTGCCTCCTGGGTTCAAGCGATTCTTCTGCCTCAGCCTCCTAATTAGCTGGGACTACAGGCACCCACCACCACGCCCAGCTAACTTTTGCAATTTTAGTAGAGTTGGGGGTTTCACAATATTGGCCAGGCTGGTCTCGAACTCCTGACCTTCTGATCCGCCTGTCTTGGCTTCCCAAAATGCTGGGATTCCAGGCATGAGCCACCACACCCGGCCTAAAATGTTTCATTAAGAATGTTTGGCCAGGCGCGGTGGTTCATGCCTGGAATCCCAGCACTTTGGGATGGTGAGGTGGGAGGATCACTTGAGCCCAGGAGTTTGAGACCAGCCTGGGCAACATGGCGAAAACACATCTCTATTTAAAAAATAAGAAAATTAGGCCGGGCGCGGTGGCTCAAGCCTGTAATCCCAGCACTTTGGGAGGCCGAGATGGGCGGATCACGAGGTCAGGAGATCGAGATCATCCTGGCTAACACAGTGAAACCCCATCTCTACTAAAAAAAAAACACAAAAAACTAGCCGGGCGACGTGGCGGGCGCCTGTAGTCCCAGCTACTTAGGAGGCTGAGGCAGGAGAATGGCATGAACCTGGGAGGCAGAGCTTGCAGTGAGCTGAGATCCGGCCACTACACTCCAGCCTGGGCGACAGAGCCAGACTCCGTCTCAAAAAAAAAAAAAAAAGAAAAGTAGCTGGGCGTGGTGGCACAAGCCAGTAGTCCCAGCTACTCTGGAGGCTGAGGCAGGAGGATCTCTTGAGCCCAGGGGGTCCGGGCTACAGTGAGATATGATTTTATCACTGTGCTCAAGCCTGGGTGACAGAGTGTGACCATCTCAGAAAAAAACAAAACAAAACAAAAAAAACGAGGCCAGGCAAGGTGTCTCACGCCTGTAATCCCAGCACTTTCAAAGGCTGAGGCAGGTGGATCACCTCAGGTCTGGAGTTTAAGACCAGCCTGGCCAGCATGGTGAAACCCCATCTCTACCAAAAATACAAAAATTAGGGCCTGGCACAGTGGCTCACGCCTGTAATCCCAACACTTTGGGAGGCCAAGGCGGGCGGATCATGATGTCAGGAGATTGAGACCATCCTGGCTAACACGGTGAAACCCCGTCTTTACTAAAAATACAAAAAAATTAGCCAGGCGTGGGGGTGGGCGCCTGTAGTCCCAGCTACTTGGGAGGCTGAGGCAGGAGAATGGCATGAACCTGGGAGGCAGAGCTTGCAGTGAGCTGAGATCGTGCCACTGCACTCCAGCCTGGGAACAGAGCAAGACTCCGTCTCAAAAAACAAAACAACAAAAATTAGCCGGGCGTGGTGGCGGGCGCCTGTAATCCCAGCTGCTTGGGAGGCTGAGACAGGAGAATCACTTGAACCCGGGAGGCAGAGTTTGCAGTGAGCCAAGATTGCACCACGGCACTCCAGCCTGGGCAACAGACTGAGACTCTGCTTCAAAAAAAAAAAAAAAAAAAGAACAAAAGAAAACAAATGTTTAGTGTTACTAACGTGTTGAAATTATATTTTAGACAAATTTGGTTTAATACATTATTAAAATTGATTTCATACATTTCCTTTTACATAGGGACATTTAAATTACATATGTAAGCTGGGCACGGTGGCTCTGGCTGTAATCCCAGCACTTTGGAAGGCCAAGACAAATCAAGGCCTGGAGACCGCGGTGGCTCAGCCATGTAATCCGCACCATCTGGAGGACCGAGGGCGGATGGATCACAGGGTCCAAGGAAGATTCGAGACATCACTGGCCTACTCCCGTCTCTACTAAAAATCAAAAACTAGCCGGGCGTGGGTGGCCGGGGCAGCTGATATCCAGACTCCGGAAAGACTTAATGAGGCAAGGAAGAATGGCCGTGAACCCAGACAGTGCGGAAGCTTTGCCCAGTGAGCCGAGATGCCGCCACTCGCACCCCAGCCTGCGCGACACAGCCGAGACTCCGTCTCAAAAAAAATAATAATAAAATAAAATAAATAAAATAAAAATTCAGAAAAAATTGGCCAGGCGCGTGCTGTCTCACACCTGTATATCCTCACACTTTGGGAGGCAGAAGCAGGCGAATCACCTGAGGTCGGGAGTCTCAAGACCAGCCTGATCAACATAGAGAAAGCCGCTCCTACTAAAAATAAAAAAATTAGAAGGACGTGGCGGCAGGCACCTGTAATCCCAGCTACTCCGAGGCTGAGGCAGGAGAATCGCTTGAACCCGGGATATGGAGGCTGCGGTGAGCCAAGATCACGCCATTGCACTCCAGCCTGGGCAACAAAAGTGGAAACTCCACCTCAAAACAAAACAAACAAAAAACCAGGGATGGTGGCTCACACCTGTAATCCCAGGACTTTGGAAAGCTGAGGCAGGCAGATCACTTGAGGTCAGGAGTTCGAGACCAGCCTGGCCAACATGGTAAAATCCCATCTCTATTAAAAATGCAAAAATTAGCTGGGTGTGGTGGCACACACCTATAGTCTCAGCTACTTGGGAGGCTGGAGGCAGGAGACTTGCTTGAACCCAAGACGTAGAGGTTGCAATGAGCGTGGATCGTGTCACTGCACCAGCCTGGTGACAGAGCGCAGACTCTGTCTCAAAAAAAAAAAAAAAAAAAAAGAAAATACAACTCGAGACACATATTACTTTTATTTAGTTAGTTATTTATTTTTGAGATAGCATCTCACTGTGTTACCCAGCCTGGTCACGAACTCCTGGGCTCAAGTACTGCTCCCCCTCAGCCTCCCAAAGTGCTAGGTTTAAGGCACCAACCCACTGTGCCCTGTCACGTTATTTTATTTTACTTTGTTTATTATTATTTTTTGAGATGGAGTCTCACTCTTTCACGCAGGCTGGAGTACAGTGGTGTGATCTCGGCTCACTGCAAGGTCCGCCTCCCAGGTTCAACGATTCTCCTCCCTCAGCCTCCCAAGTAGCTGGGATTACAGGCGTGAACCCACCATGCCTGGCTAATTTTTTTGTATTTTTAGTAGAGACAGGTTTCACCATGTTGGCCAGCTGGTCTTAAACTCGTGACCTCAGATAATCTGCCCT